AGCCCCTCTTCATTAGGCTCCCCCCAAATCTTTTGTTTGTGGTAGTCATAGGAGTTGTTGTAATTTGAATCATTGGGGGGTTTTTGTTTGTTTTTTAAACATATTTTTTATTGGTTTCAGAGAGGAAGAGAGAGAAACATCAATGATGAGAGAGAATCATTGATTGGCTGCCTCCTGCACGCCCCACATTGGGGATGAGTGGGCAACTCAGGCAACCCGGGCATGTGCCCTGACCTGGAATCAACTGTGACCTCCTGGTTCATAGGTTCACGCTCAACCACTGAGCCATACCTGCTGGGCCCACAGGGTTTGAATCATTAGTTTTTGGGTAGGATATTATCAGTCGTTACAACTACCAAACCTCTAGAAATATACACACACACAACTACATAGATGTAGTTGATCTTTGAGTCCTAATGTTTTTTTCATGTTTTTAATGAATACCTCAGTTCTGTAAACGGGGAAATGTCGTAGGGCAAGTTTAGTCTTGTGTTACTCTGTTTTTCCAGATGATATATTCATTCTGTGAGCTAAGATGCAATCATCGCCATTCAGGTTAAGGGGAAGACTAATGTTTTATTTTATTCTTTAGCCCTCCCCTCCCCCGCCCCCCAATGTCAGTAACCTTTTACTTTTATCCTAACAGTTACATCTTTTGTGACTTTTTCTGTTTAGCTGCCTTTGTTTTTCTGCTCTGGGGGCTTGTTTTGGCATCTGGTTAGGCTTTTGTTTTGTTTGGGATGGGGTATCCTTTGCCATTACATGAAACACTGGAGAGATTTAGCTTTAACTGGGTTTGTGATAAGTTCATAGAAGTCAACAACTTTGAAGTCATCACATTTAACTTGTCAAGGGTTAAGAGTTTAAAGCAGCTTAATTTAAGAGTTTGGGTGCCTTATAACTTCTAAAGAAAGCCAGACGTTGGGAGATGTACACAGTTCTCATTTTGAATGGTTAGCTGAGTTTTTAGCCAGGTTATCTGTCCTCCCTGAAAATGAAATTTATTTTCATTCGATTCCCTTTGCAAGCCAAGACTTTTCCCAGCTTGTTCTTTGTGTCCTTATACGTGATCTTGAAAGTATATTGGCTGCTTATAGATAATTTTTCTTTGCTTTAAGAATTGTTTGAAGAAGTTAAACTGAGATAACAAAATAAAATGTTTATTCTGCAAAGTTCTCTTTTGTTTAATTAGGTGTTTGGTGACCAATAAATCTGCCTGGTTGAACTGGTAGAATAGAATTAGTAAGTTTGTGTAATAGTTGGCCATTCCTAACCATGGTCTTAAGATTTATTTAATGTTATTCATGTATGATTAAGGAATTAAGATCTTTTAACGAGGTAGCTCAATAAGGAACAGGCCTGAACATCTCATCCCAGCTCTCCCTGAAGACTTGCTCTGTGATGTGGGGCAAGACACTTCACCCTATACCTCCAAACCCCCTTCTCTAAAATGATGTTACAGATCACTCACCCACCACTCAGGGTTGTTGTGAGAAGAACTAATAAATAACTGGAAAAAGTGCTTATGAATTATTATGTCCATGTACTAAAAGACGTATAGATTGTGAATATGTATGCAAGAGAGCTTGTTTGATATTTTCCTACGAGGATTTTTCGTTACTGTGTCCTGACACAGGCATTTCCTTCTAGGTGACTGTCCTGGGAACCCCTGCAGAAGAAGAAGGTGGTGGCAAAATTGACTTAATTGAAGCAGGGGCTTTTAAAAACCTTGATGTTGTTTTTATGGCCCATCCATCCCAAGAGAATGCTGCTTATCTCCCTGATGTGGCTGAACACGAGTAAGTAATCAAGTTGAAATAAACTTCTCAGTGGAAAACAGACTATTAGAATACTTTTACGTCTTTTATTTTAAAAAATAGGAACAGAAATGTATTGTCTTAAAGTTCTGGAGACGTGAAATCTGAAATCAGGTGACAGGGCCAGGTCCTTCTAAATCCTGTAGTGGGGGGTGGGGGGGTGGGGGAGGACCCTTCCTGCCTCTTCCAGCTTCTGGTAGCCCCAGACATTCCCTGGCCTGTGGCAGCCTAATTCTCATCTCTGCTTCTGTCTTCACATGGCCTCCTCTCTCTGCCCCTTCACATCGTCTTTCCTCTATGTCTCTAGAATACTTTTATGTCTTAACGGGAGACTAAAACTCCATATTTATACATTTAAAGAGTAAATCGAAAGATAATGATGTGATGTCTTACTTGATTTAAATGACTCATACTTGGTAAGCCTCTTTTAATTGAGATTTAATATGATGTTCATAATTGGACTATTAAAATAACGCCCAAAAAGCATAAGAATAGCAAACAATATGTTGACACATGTTCTGTTTTGAACTGTCCGAGAGTAATCTGGTTTCTTTCTTTTTTAAAAGAAATATATTTTTACTGATTTCAGAGAAGAAGGGAGAGGGAGCGAGAGATAGAAACATCAATGAGAGAGAATCATTGATGGTCTGCCTCCTGCCTGTCCCCTTCTGGGGATCAAGTTCAAAACCCGGTCATGTGCCCTGATCGGAAATCAAACCCTGACCTCCTGGTTCATAGGTCAAGGCTCATCCACTGAGCCACACCAGTGGCGCCAATCTGATTTTTAGAGGTTGTCCTAACACATTTCAATTGTCACCTTCCCCCACCCTTAAGACAGAATTATCTGAGTTTTTGCAGACATTTGGTATAGAACTATCACATGAAGTCTAAAAGGAGACAGGAGTCATCATGTTTGTAAATTCAGCGCCTAATACAGTATTGCATACTTGTTTGAATGTAATTGTGTACAAATTCAATTTGCATAGGAGGTCGATTGATCTGTTTCTCTTTTTCTCTCTTTTTTTGGAATGCCTTCTTTGTGTCAGTCACTGTATTACATAATAATAAACAACAACTAAGCTGTTATGGCTATAAATGATTCGCAAACGAAAATTCTAGGAGTATGAATTCATTTGAATACTAGTTGGGTAATTCTAACTCCTTGGCTTTTCTTACCTTAGTGATATTGGAAAAAAAAATTCCAAATGATGTTTTATTTCCTAGTGTGACTGTGAAATACTATGGGAAAGCATCTCACGCTGCTGCGTATCCCTGGGAGGGAGTAAATGCATTAGATGCTGCTGTTCTCGCCTACAACAACCTGTCTGTGTTAAGACAGCAAATGAAACCAACCTGGAGAGTTCATGGTATGAATGTCAGATATTTTGTGTAATAGATGGTGTTTAATATATTTCAATGCAATATAATTACTTAATATTTGATTTTTTAAAAATTAGAAACATTGGGTATAGAAACATTTGTCAGAAGTTATGTGGCAGGACACTAGGATGTTTGCCTATTTGTGGGTCAGACGACATATAAGATTATTTTTTTTTAATATATTTTATTGATTTCTTACAGAGAGGAAGGGAGAGAGATAGTTAGAAACATCGATGAGAGAGAAACATCGATCAGCTGCCTCCTGCACATCTCCTACTGGGGATGTGCCTGCAACCAAGGTACATGCCCTTGACCGGAATCGAACCTGGGACCTTTCAGTCCGCAGACGGATGCTCTATCCACTGAGCCAAACCGGTTTTGGCGACATATAAGATTATTATTAAATATAAATGGAACAGTAATTTTGAGTATTAGAGGTCAGTATTTTTATATAAGGACCTTTCTGTGGTCATTTGAAAGTTGGAACTTGACTTTCCAGTTATCCTATCTTTTAATGATAACAAAATTTTGTCATTTCCTCAATTTAAAAAAGTTAGGGTTACTAGTTTTTATTTACTCAAGTGCTGTTAATCCTAAGTAACATCTTTTAAAATTACCTTTATATCAATACAGTAATAAAGTACTGTCTTGAAGATACAAATTTATTTTTTAGTTCATTTCTTTATGATTTGGGAAATTATTATACTTTAATATCTATTTTTTTTTACCTGATTTAGCTGTAGGCTTAAATTAGTTTGTAATTACACTACCTTAGTTTCTTTAAAAAAAAGTACTTTATAAAGCAGGTTATATACAATTAGATTTTGTATATCTATTTTAGTTATAACTTTGAAGAGCTAAATCTTCCTTCTCTGTGTAGTTCCAAATAAATGTATTTGTTTTAATAGTACTTAGTGATCTTTGACACATTGGTTTTTTTTCAGCATAAAAATTATTTTCCCTGAGTCAAATGCCTTTTAAAATACTCATGCAATTGTTTAAGTACAAGGGTAATTATAGAACTTCACACCATTGGGGTTTTTTCTCTTCTCATATCAAAAGTTTATCAAAATGTACAACTGTAATATAAGCTACTGAAATAAAAGCATTTTCCAGAAGGCTTAATATAGTTATAAAAAATTCTAACAGTTTCTTAAAGTCAGGAATAATAATTTATTATAAATTCCTTAGAATAAAGTACATATAATTATTTTATTTCTTTTCCTGTTAGCTAGAAAGTATCACACTATGACATATAGAAACTTTTGTTGTACAGCAAAATCTTTGATTGGCATATCTGTGAAGCATATGCGTTTGAATTATTTTTCTTTATATACAAATTGGCTGGAAAATGTTATGCGTGTATTTAAGCTTAAAGAAATGGTCTCCAAGCTCAATTCCAGTAATTTGGTTCTTTTTATAGGTATAATAAAAAATGGTGGTGTAAAACCCAATATCATTCCCTCTTATTCTGAATTAATCTATTACTTCCGTGCACCCTCAATGAAAGAACTTCCAGTTTTGACCAAAAAGGCAGAAGATTGCTTCAGAGCTGCAGCTTGTGCTACTGGGTGCACAGTAAGAACTTTTAAGAGTTAATCTAAGTTATAATCAGACATATATATGTGGACTGAGGTTGTTTATATTAAATTAGATTAGAATCTTGCTTGCTTTTTCATTTGGTGTTGTCTTGAATATGTAAATTCAGTTGACTGAATAGTTGATGTGAAAGTCTTCGCTTCTTACTTATGTTACTCAGTTTCTGCACCGGGAAGACTGCAGTCATCTTATCACACAGTAATTGGAATAACTGATTCTGCTGAGCTAGAATTCCTGTCTTTTTGCAAGTTATATCTGTCCTTATCGGTAGTTATGCTTTTAGAATTGCTCTATATAGTTTCCAGTGCAAAATCAGCAAAAGCTATTTTTTAAAAATATATTTTATTGATTTTTTACAGAGAGGAAGGGAGAGGGACAGAGAGTTAGAAACATCGATGAGAGAGAAACATCGACCAGCTGCCTCCTGCACACCCCCCACTGGGGACGTGCACGCAACCTAGGCACATGCCCTTGACCGGAACCAAACCCGGGACCCTTCAGTCCGCAGGCTGACGCTCTATCCACTGAGCCAAACCGGTTAGGGCAGCAAAAGCTATTTTTTAGCGAAGTTCTAGATAGGTAGAGCAGGGGCATAAATACTTATGGCTTACTGGAGTGAAAGTTAAAATAGACACAGAAGTTAGTCAAGAGGTTTTGTTCATTTGCACCATGAAGTCAGTAACATTTATGTACCAATTCTGTAGGGCAGGGGTCCTCAAACTTTTTAAACGGGGCCAGTTCACTGTCCCTCAGACCGTTGGAGGGCCGGACTATAGTTTAAAAAAAACTATGAACAAATTCCTATGCACACTGCACATATCTTATTTTGAAGTAAAAAAACAAAACGGGAACAAATACAATATTTGTATTTGCATGTGGCCCACGGGCCGTAGTTTGAGGACCCCTGCTGTAGGGCATACAGTGGCATGAGAAGTTACAGAATGACATAAATTTTGCCCTGCAGGGCGCCAGTCATCTGGATGGAGAGACAAGATCTGGATCTGTGCTTCTCAGCCTCACTGATTCTGTAACTTTTGGAAACGTTATTTAATATCTCTTAGCCTCCATTTTATCTTGAAAAATGGAGGTAATATAACCTATCTTAGAATTCTTGTGAGAATTAAGCGAGGGCATGTTTATGAAGAGTTGGGGTCTAACCCTCATACATAATACTTTCTTTTTTCAAATTATAAGAGAAAGTTTATTTAGAAAATCACAGAGGTAGTAGAAGTGAGCTAGCTGGGATGCATAGACTCAGGAAACAAGTTACTGAGGCAGAAAGGCCCTTGGAGCTTAGGAGAAAGAAAGCCAAAGACGAAGTGCCTGGGGAAGGCGCAGGCAGGCACCTGGGAGGGACAGTGCCTTATTTTTTCCTGCCCTCATTGGACTGGAGCGGTGTGATTTATTCAGATAGTAGCCGGGTCTCAGACAGTAACAGTGATTTGCAGACAGGATATGTTAAGTGTCCAAAGTAGAAAATGAAGCACTTGACCCTTGTTTATATATAATTATAAATATTTTAAATATTTATTTAGAAAATGAATACATAAACTATGGTCATTCACTTGTATCTCAAGGTGTAATATTTCCTTAGGACAGTGGTCGGCAAACTCATTAGTCAACAGAGCCAAATATCAACAGTACAACGATTGAAATTTCTTTTGAGAGCCAAATTTTTTAAACTATATAGGTAGGTACATTGTTATTAACTTAATTAGGGTACTCCTAAGCTGGCCTTTGCTAAAAACGTCCTCAATCTGATTGAGGTACATTTGCTGAGGTCGACCCCTTCCAACTCTCCCATCCACACTCGTCTTGTATACTTGTTTCAGATAGACGAGTGTGGATGGGAGAGTTGGAAGGGGTCGACCTCAGCGAACGTACCTCAAAACAATGTACCTCCCCCACGCTGCATCTCCCGTTGCCCGACCGACACCCCCCACTTCTTCTAACGCCACTTCTTCAAAATAGACTCGCCCAGGCCGAAAACCGACTTCTGCACATGGGCCACGAAGTTTCAATCGCACTGTACGTGCGCGCCCGCACGTGGTATTTTGTGGAAGAGCCACATTCAAGGGGCCAAAGAGCCACATGTGGCTTGCGAGCCGCGGTTTGCCGACCACTGCCTTAGGATAAGGTTCATTGTTACTGGATTTAAGTCTATATTTTAAATAGTTTTTTAGTAACTTTTTTTTAAAGTATTCTGTCAGCATTTATTTGCTCTAGTAACTTTTTATATTTTAGCTGACTTATAATATCTGATTAAGTTGTCATTGTTTCTAATTTAGATGTTGCTAAGGTTAGATGTCATCTCTGCCATTTTATAATTGGCTTTTGCTAACGTCCAAGGTATTATCTTTAGTTTGAGGGAGTAGTGGCCTTTTGATTTAATCAAACCTAGATCTGTGAATTGTGAATCTTCTTTTTCTCAGGGTACCTTTGTACCTTTCAGACCAGGCAGTGGTGTCAGTATCGGTTTATATACTGAATATTAGTAAAGTGTAATTTCTTCTTGTAGAAGCCACAGCCTCGAGCAGTGTTTCTCAGAGTGTTTGGACCACCTATGTCAGAATTACTTGGGGGTCCTGGTTAAAGTGGAGATTTCTGACACCACCCCTCCCCAAACACTCAGACACCTACCCTACTGAGGTGACTGGAGTTGAGACTCACTGACTAGTAGAGCTAGGTGACATCATGTGATTTGGTGCATACATAACAAAGGAGACAGGGTACTAGGAACTCTCAGTAACAGAATACATTTTTGTAAGGTAAGAGACTTGAAAGAGTTTATATCCAGAAGGGAACATGCCCCTTCTTAACCTCTTGCTATTAAAAAAACCATTGCTGGTTTGAAATTTAGATGGTGAATTTGAGGTGTTTCTTTTTCAAAATTTGTGTTTTAATTTTTAATAGGTAGAAATTAAAGGTGAAGCACATGATTATTACAATGTCCTTCCCAATAAGAGCCTACGGAAAGCTTATATTGAAAACGGGGAAAAGCTGGGAATAGAATTCATTTCAGAAGAGGATGCAGTGTTGAATGGATCTTCAGGTAATTAAGTTCTTTTATGTATTGTGCTATTTGAGGAAAGGAATTCCTTCTTTGGTTCTGTTTAACAGCTTTGAAGGTAGGGAGGTATTGCTGATGCTTTTAATTATATTTTTCACAAACTTAATAGCTAGGGGAAGGAAACTAATGAACTCTTAGTGATTGTAGAGTGTCAAACGAGCAGGTTTGTTTTTAGAAATAGGCAACATACTGCCTGGCTGGTGTTGCTCAGTGGTTGAGTGTCTACCTATGAACCAGGAGGTCACAGTTTGATGCATGCAGGAGGTAGCTGATCAATGATTCTCATCATTGATGTTTCTATCTCTCTCTCCCTCTCCCTTCCTCTTTGAAATGTTTCTATCTCTCCCTCTCCCTTCCTCTTTGAAATCAATTAAATATATATATATATTTATATATATATGAAGTAGCCAGCATACTTTTTGCTTTATATTCTAAGTATTTCCAGTGTTAAATTTTCTTAGTTCTAAATTTTAAAAAATAATTTTGTATTTTTTTATTACAGTTAACATACAGTATTATATTAGTGTCAGGTGTATAATCCAGTGATTGGACATTATATAACTTAGTAAATGATCACCCATTACAAACAAGTTTTAAATAAGCTACTAAAAAGGGAAATAGAATTTCAATTTATTCTTAATCATCAGTATGCAGGCTACTAAGTACTTAAGTAGTTATATGGGGTCATTTTTGGTTTCTGAGAAGCAATAAGCAACTGTTAAAATTTAAATAATCATAAGTCTATTGGGGTTTATTTTATATTTTTTCCCTTTAAAAACATTACTAATATATTTGCATCTTAGAGATGTATCTCCTAAAATATAATAATAGATGTTGATGAAGTAGACTCAGAAAAACTTGGTGATAAAAATGAGGTGTTGATGTCATTCATTAAAATAAGAAGTTCAAGAGAAGGAGCAGGTCGAGGTATGTGGGGAGCTATAAATGATTAGTATGTTAAATTTGAGGTGCTACAGGATTTCTAAGAGGAGCTGTTCAGTGGCCTGTTGAATCTGGAACTCCCAAAGTTCCAGATTTTAGGAGTTTTCAATATCAGAAAGGTATATGAAACAGTTAATGAGGTTGCCCAAGAAATCCTAGGGCTCTCTAGCACTTAGGACACGAGCAAAGGAAGCAATATAGAGGAGACAGAGAGTGGTCTGAGAAAGCCAGACAGTCAGGAGAGAGTGGAGACATGGAAGCCAAAGGAGTGGGGAGTGTCGAGAAGGGAAGGAACAGTAAATCATGCCAGGTGCTAAGAAGGCTGAATGAGATAAGTATGATCAAATATCCATTGGACTAGCAATTAGAAACTCATGGATTGTCTTACTTTCCCAAGGATCTACTGATTTTGGAAATGTTAGTTTTGTGGTTCCTGGAATTCATCCATATTTTTACATTGGATCTGACGCCTTGAATCATACAGAACAATACACTGAAGCTGCAGGTAAGTGTTAGAAGTGAATATTTTGGCACGTGCCCTCCTTTTGTAGTAGTTGCTGCCTTTCTGATTGTTTAGATCAACGTCACTTCAGAGAACTCTATATTGTGGTGGGCAGTGGAGAGGCAATTTAGATATTAAGAGTGAGCCTGAAAACTAATAATTTATAATAATTCTTGGATTTGTTTTCTCAACCTTTTAGGATCACAAGAAGCCCAATTCTATACTTTGCGTACAGCCAAAGCTCTGGCAATGACTGCGTTGGATGTTATTTTTAAACCAGAGTTGCTAGAAAGAATCAGAGAGGACTTTAGATGGAAACTTCAAGAAGAAGAGTTTTTAAATAGAGTAGAATAAAAGGAAGATTGAGGAGAAGTGATGATTTCTTTTCTTCATTTTTTAATGAAGGAGGAGGGCATGTTTGTTTTTCAATCTTAAAGGAATCAGATTTCTCTTCCTGAAAAGTGAGGACATAGTGTTGAGAAAACACATGAACTCTTAGCTAAAATTAAAATGTTCACAAATCTATATTTGATGGAATTGTGATCTTTCAGGAGCTGGTATGTGGTGGCATTTCTTAAACAACTTGGATAACACATGGTTTATCAGTGATAATAGTGTATAAGTTCATATGTTGTGTAAGTATATTTCAAAAGGTCCAAGAGATTTCAAACCTTATATTCAGAATTGACTCATGAAAGATTTTTTTCCTGGTATAGGGCGGTAAAATTGTTTTAAAAAGTAGTTTTAAAATGCAAGTTCTGAATTTGAAGGAAGTTCATTTTGATGTCTATGTTTGTTTTGGTTTAGAGACTGTTTTCTTTGGTAATAAAAGTAGGTTTTTAATCAGAAATGCTGTGGGAAACAACCAGAAACTCAGGTACAAAGAATAAGCTTTAGTTTATGTTAATTATAATAGAAAAAATTACAGATGCATAATAACCCTTCCTGTAAGTTGTCTGCTTGATAGTCTAGTGCCATCGTCGGCAAACTGCGGCTCGCGAGACACAAGTGGCTCTTTGCCCCCTTGAGTGTGGCTCTTCCACAAAATACCGACTTCTGCGCATGGGCCACAAAGTTTCAATTGCACTGTACGTGCACGCCCGCACGTGGTATTTTAAGTTTTTCCTGGTTCTTATTTTAGTATGAATTTTTTAAACGTGATGAAAGGATGTGGGAAAAGTATCTGATTAAGCAAATATTTTAAGCTGTGAATATAGCAAAGCTTCAGTATATTTTATTTTAAAGGGAGTCCTCAAACTTGAGAGTAAATATTCTAAAATGGAAGGGGAAGGAGAGAAAAGTGAGCATTTGGCCTCTGCTGTAAGCAAGTCATTTGGGCCCCTCTGAGCCTTCAGCTCTCCATTTGGGAAGTTAGAATAAATCACTTACACTTACAGTCCTTTGAAACCCCAATTCCTAATAGTTTTGGGGGAGTGTTGGTACTTTAGAATTGCTTATCTTCTACATCAGGGGTCAGCAAACCACAGTCTGATTGGCAAGCAGCCTGAATTTATGTGGCCAGCATGCTAAAAAATGACTGGGGAGGGGAGAAAGGAACAGAGACCAGATGATGTGACCTCAAAACTAAAAATATTTACTGTCTGGTCCATTACAAAAAAATGTTTGCCAGCTCCAGTCCTATGTAACAGTAAAATAAAACCTGTTTCTCTTTGATTTCCATCATATAATCAGATGTTCTCCTAGGATAAAACTCACGCCTCTGTATTGAAAATAGTGACAGGAGGGATGTAGATGGCAGTGCCCCGACTTGACCGTTACACTGCCGAGTTTGTCCTCACTGGAGTTCTGGCCCTTCAGAAGTTTGCCTTCTTTTAGCATTTACTTCATTCGGGGATGCAGCCACCCTGCTGCCTTAAGACCTTGCCCTGTGAAAGCCAGTCTTCTAACTTTTCATCTCAGCTTTCAGCATTTGAACCTTCACGCTGCCCTTTGTCTGACTATAATCTCAAAAAGTCATGGTTGGTGTATATTTTATACACAGGGGAGGGATCCACAAAGGTTTCAGGCTGAGAATTGGTTATGTCCGGACCTCCAGTTTATATGAATAGTTAGTTTCCTAATAATCAATTTTATAAATTTTTCAACTGTAAGTTTTAAATTCCTGCACTCGGGAATGGGGTTTTATTTTCTAAAGCCTTGATAACATTCTAGAACAGTGATTGCTAACTGGTATCCAACACACTAATATTCTCCCGTCTTCTGTGAAGTGTTACAAGTTGTTACTCATACAAACTATTTGTGGTTTTCTTGTGATTAAATTTCTTTTTAAAAACATATCGGAGAACATTGAAGACAGCATTCTCTTGCTTCACTTGCATTCTTGTGTGGGAGAGCAGGTTGTGGCGTGCAGGTTGCTGGCACGCAGGGAACAGGTGTAATCTGCACCATGCTGTCCGCCACAACCCATGGTGAGGAGCTAATATTCATGTACTGTTAAGATTTGGGTCACTTTTGAGTTTCTGTCATATTTTATTTCTTTTTCAATTTTTGAAAAATTTGGTCCGAATAAGGGTCTACCCATTGGACTAGGTCATGGAATTATGTCAGGAAAGAGGTTGAGAACTGATGTTCTAAGTGTATCTAGAAGTATGAGATTTTTTTCCCGGATCTTTGTTTTACATTATGTTACTTTAACATTTTTTATATAATTCAGATTTTAAAATACCTTTTTAATTTTCATATACCAGTGAGTTAATTGAGCCATATTACACTATAAAGTGTAAGTAAATACATAAATAAATGCTGGAGTCAAATTCTCATGTCCAGAGCTACCGACTGTAACTAATCCTTGTTGGCTATTTGACTTTGGGAGAGTGCTTCCTTTTGTAGTGCTAGTTTTTCCTTCTGGGACTAAGTTCTTTCTTTACCCTCATACTCCAGGGGCATGTTTTCTAAATAATTGTACTAAATTTTCCTAAGTATTCTTAGCTTAAATTATCATTGTTGGCTGGTTAGTTGGTTCTTACATTTTGGATTAAATCTCCAAACATTTTGGAAGTTAAAGAGGGAAGCATTAGATTGTAGGTGATCAGTGTCACTTTTAGAAGGGTTATATTTAGCTCTTTATGTTTAAGAGATGAATGCTTATTTTTAGAAGGTTGAAAAATAAATAGAACTTTAAAATTTTTACAATTTCGTATCTTGTTCTTGAGGAAGGGGGCAACTAAGTTTTCCTCTCAGAATTGGTTTGAGTGATGAGGTTCTTATTATTCCTCCACAAGATTATGTATTATCTGAAGCCACAGTCTTTTCAATTTGCTTAATATGTTTCAGGTACACCAAACCTGACTCAGCTGGGGGGAAAAGGCCAGGCTCATTTAGTGCAAAGTTTAAGATTATATGATTTCTTAAAATGTTAAATTAGTTTCTGACCTAAACTAGAGGTATAGGTGGACCTGCTTGAGGTGCCTTTGTTTTTATGGAAAATGTTTTTATTACACACACACCTTTTGTAAAGCCTTTTCCTCAAATCTCAACTTTTGGCTATCAATGTTAAAAGGTATAATCCGGCCCTGGCTGGTGTGGCTCAGTTGGTTGAGCATTATCCCATGCAGATGATTGGTAAGAGTACTTGCCCAGGTTGCTGGCTAGATCCCTGGTAGGGTTGCGTGTGGGAGGCAATGGATTGATGTTTCTCACATCGATGTTTCTCCCTGTCTCTCTCTCTCCCTTCCTCTCTGTCTAAAAATCAATAAAGTCATGTTTTTAAAGGTATAATCCAAATTAATCTAAATTTAATTACAGATTGAAAATATTTTTCTCTTTACTGACTTAATTTTATTTTTTCCCATCACCATTTATCCACTCTATGCCCTTTTCCAACTCTACCCACCCACCTCCCCCCATCCCACAATTACCACACTGTTGTCCATGTCCATGAGTTATTTCCCCGCCTTTTTTTTTGGGTTTCATATATTTTTATTGATTTCAGAGTGGAAGGGAGAAAGAGAGAGAGAAATATCAATGATGAGAGAGAATCATTGATCGGCTGCCTCCTGCACACCCCACACTAGGGATGGAGCCCACAACCCGGGCATGTGCCCTGATATAGAATCAAACTGTGACCTCCTGGCTCATAGGTCGACACTCAACCACTGAGCCACACTGGCTGGGCGATCTCTCTCCCTTACTCCTCCCTCAAGCCCTCCATGTAGTGACTTAATTTTAAAAGCAGGCCTGAATAGGAGGCATGTGTAAAACAATCATGTGGTACTATGAATAACTAAGTTGCTATGTATCATATAATAAGATTGGGGATAGCTAATATTTAGCTTGCCTCTTATAATTTTCAGACTGTTTTCTAGTTTCAACATACTCTAAGTATTTTGTAATCTAATTTTATAGATGAGGATGGCGCATTTTGATATGTATGACGTTAATATTTTCAAGTAAGCAATCACTGTCTACTACCATCAGATGACAGTAGTTTTAAAAAACATTTTAATACGTATTAGAGTATGTTTTAAAAAGTAGAATGTTAATAAATGTTTTCTAATAGTGATTGTCATGTGTTTTTTTCCAACATCACACCATTATGCAAGTATAAGATAAAACATAATCACCCAAATATACTATTTTATGATCATTAATACATTGTTATCACATGATGTTGGTGTGCTTTTAAATTATAAATGTTACATTATTCATATAATGAGAATTTTAAAGAGCAATTAAGTCCTTTTGCTTAAAAACTGATGTTTTCATAGTCTTACAACCTGAAAATATAAACTAGAAAAAATATCAGGTCAAGGTATCCCAGCCCTCCCTTCATTCAAGGCTTCTGAGGCTATAAGTAGGCTCAAATCTGAGAGTTTATTAAGGGGCTGTGACTCTGTTTTTGTTATTTGAGTTCGATGTTTGTTCATTTGACCTAGAACTTTTATGCTCATACAGATCACAAAAGAATTTAGCAGGCTTTCTATTTCATTTCTGAGAACACTATTCATAACAAACGAAAGCCATAGATCTGTGTGCGTTCGACTATCCTGATTGCTGCTGTGACTCTGCTGTCCGTTGTGGCAAACTCTGGCCACTGAGTGCCACCGCGTGGCCCCTGCCACTCAGGATCCAATTGCTGCCACTGCATTCAGGCTTTCCATTTGGGTCACTGCAGTTCCCACTACAGCGTGTGGCCTACAGAGAAGAGCAATCACAGAGCTCTTCAAGGAGCTCCACTCACCAATTTACTGCTCAAAGTATTGGACCTTCCCAATATGGGTGAGTAGGTTTCACATGACAAACCCACTCTATGGTACTTTGCTATAGTAGCTCCCGCAGACTAGTACAGCATCCTATATGCTGGTTCAAATGGTGAAATTTCCCAAACTGGGCAGATGGATGTTCAGATGATGTACCCTGGAAATCTGCTAGAATCTAGCAGCTAGATGATTTAAGGTGGTCTTGGTTATAAGGAAGAAGCCCTTGGTAAAGATATCTGTGAAGCATTTGATTGAAATTGTTTCATAAAATAAGCATAAAGTAATGTTTTAAAAATAAAATTTAATATTATAGTTAACAATTAACTATTTTTTTAATATCTCTTTAAGTTTATTTACCCAAGTGTCAAAAAACTTTTTTTGATGAGCTTTTATTAGGGAAAATTGCCTTAGGATTTGTGCAAGTATGTTTTGTGTTAATCCTTACCTGAGGCTTTTTCCATTTATATTTAGAGAGTGGAAGGAAGGGAGAGAAACAATGATGTGAGAGAGACATATCAATTGGTTGCCTCCCACATATGTCCCTACTGGGCTGAGGATCGAATCTGCAACCCAGGTACCTGCCCTTGACCGGGAATCGAACCCAAGGCCCTTTGGTGCATGGGCCGACACTCTAACCACTGAGCAACAAAGGTCAGGGCTGGGGTTTTTTTCCAGATGGGAATAAAGTATATAGCCCTTCCTGTATATGAAAAATACAATATTATTTATTATAAATGATTAGTCAAATTAACTTGGAATGAAAATTATTATGTATAGCATTCACTTTATTAAAGTGAGTTTCAAACAAATGCTGTTTGGATAAGTTTGATGGGGGTTGATCCTATCGATATATATTAGTAACTATTTGTTTAAAATGATACATCAAATTAGAACCCTCTCCTTTGTCCCATGCCCTGACATTAGTGGCCATTGTTTTCTGGTTCGGAGAAAATGCTGGTATTCATTGAGTCTGAATGCAGATGTCCAGTGATGTCTTCCCATTTACTTTGCTTTTTGGTGTTCTTTTTCTCTTCCGAAACCATGTGAGTGTTTCTCATCCTAATAAGTTACAGGTAGTCCCAAACTATGCATTTTCTTCAAGTGTTTATACGGGAAAAAAATCAGTCTATTCCCAAGTTCCTCAGTAAAGATATTCCCAAGGAAGGACTTTGAACTAGGACATGCTCCATGGTAGAGATACATGAAGCAGTAATTATAAGACAGGAAACACTTAAACACTAGTTATTGCTACCACAAAACTGACAAAATGCCATGCATGCCCCTTATCCTCAAAGTATCCCGACCAGGGAAATACCTACCAAAATCAAAGCAATTGCACCATCAAAAGAGCTTTTCTCGTGAAGAGGTGAAACTTCATGATCCACAAGATGTAAATGCAAATAGGAATATCATTATTGCCTTGTAGTGAAATAAACATGAGGCAATACACTAAAAATAGGCAGTAGGCTATAAACGGAAGCATGAATTTTGGTCAAAGTGGGGACTTGTAGGTGCATGTATGTTTCATACAAATGAACTTCAGATGTAGTCCAAGTGCACCTCGTCCAAAGAATGTAACACAAAGGAAATCATTCCTGTGAATAAGCGTTTAGGGTCTAAAAGAGGTTGAACTACCGTGTGCCCACAGCCTGTCAGTGTATTTCCAGGAGATTCCAGTCCAGTAACAACTGTCTTCAGTTTCTATGGGTATTGTATTTATGCAGCACCTAGAATCATTCTGTGTGTACAATAGATGGTTCATAAGTGCAAATTAAACCAGGAAGTCTCTTGTCAAGGTAGTTTTGGACAAGGGTAGGTACTGGGAACTTTTTTTTTTCATAACCTTTTTATCATACAGATATTTCTGTAGCACACACAAAAGAATGAAATTTATAGAATTACAGGCATCTATGAGAAAATTGACCAGTATATTAAATTGAATAAAATGTACGCTGCTGGAAAGATGATCCTGGAGTATTTATCGATGGCGTGGGTGTCGATCCTCATGCTCACGTAGCTGTTCCTCCGACTTTTCCTCTGCGGGGAGCTCCTCTCGGAGGCCAGGGTGAGCTGCACCATCATCCTGTCTGGCTTCTCGCCATTCTCTGGCGTGTAGTTGCCCAGGTCATTCACCTCCACGTCGCTATAGCTGCTATCCAGCCTGACAGCGCGCGGCTGAGGTAGTCCACGGGTGCAGGGAAGCTGCGAACACAGCAAACACACATTGGGATGTGAGCTCAGCTTCCTCTCTCAGAAACCCTTCTTAGGAGAAACTGCATAGTGGGGAGGGTGGCCTTTTTCTAGTTTCTTTTATTCCCAGTTGGGGTGGGAGGTGGGAAAATAATGGTGGTGGCACAGTAAACATTCTAAAATAGCAGGTTATTTGTTTAAAGTCTACAAATCAACTCTTAGGAAACTTCATGTCATACCAGAGACCAAGAAGAATGTTCATGGCCAGAGAACCGCCCTGTTCTCCACCAGACCATTAACTGCTAGCAGCCGGGATACAAATGTTTACAGATAACACTCCTCAGAGACAGAGAGGAGCGGGAGGAGGAATTTGAAAAGCATGGCATCGTGGCAATAGTTTGCTACTATATAGTTAGAGTTTTCTGTAAGAGATAACCACTGAGCTGCAGGCAGGAGGAAGAAAGAAAAATCAGGTAGAAGGGAAAATAACCTGGAAAATGATGTGAGTTGTTTGAGATCACGTATGAAGAGAGATTCCTTAGAATAGCATATGTGCTTCTCTGGAAGCTTCTTTAATTACACCTCTGCGCCATTAAATAATTTGTCCCACCATGCTAAATTGTCCTTTATTTTCATCACTATGAACACCACCAAAATTAAAGGGACCAACGTCTTAGTTAACTTGGCTTAGCAGCTCCTGGTATATGGTAGGTGCTAAGGTAAGTGTTTGAATGCATGAGGGATGTAGCCCAGAGTGAATTGCACACTGCTTCTGTTGACATGGTAGCTTCCAACCCCATCAAGTAGGTGGAAGAAGGTGTGTCAGCCCCATTGTACATAGGACGTCTGACCTGCCCAAGGTCCGAGGTCCAGAGCTAGACCAGGCTACATGCCTGAGCAGACACTTCAGCTCATGGGAAAGTCACCTTCTCCCGCAGCTTCCGCTCCTTCCGCTCCTGCACGGTGGTCAGGTAGTTGACGGCCGCGTACTCCAGCACCGAGAGGAACACGAACACAAAGCTGACCCAGAGGTAGATGTCCACGGCCTTGATGTAGGAGACACGGGGCATGGAGGCGTTCACGCCCGTGATGATGGTGGACATGGTCAGCACTGTGGTGATACCTGCAAACAGAGTGAGAAATAAGCACCTGCTTGTCTTCCACCCAGCATACCAGAGGGCTTCACACCTCTGTTCTTTGTCCCTCCTGATCCTTCGGCCTCGAATGTCTACATCCCTGCCCCTCTGTCTAACAAACACTTACTCGTCCTTCAAGATTGAGCCTTTATGAAGCTCTCCAGTCCTCCTCCCCTCATATC